CCCCCTTTGCTAGTTCAGAGGACTACCTCGCCCCTTCAGCTTCGCCATGGTACATGCCGCCCTTTGGGATTCCTGGTTGGCTCCACAGAGGCCCGCTCCATTTTCTCTCTCTACAGCTCACCCCTCATGGAGGAGTCCTTCTGTGGTGCATTCTGATGCGCTGCATCCCATCCTGGGCCTGTGGGCCCCCGCAGAGCACCTGGGAGGATTGAGAAGGCACCCTCAGCCTAGGGTGCAGTGGAGCAGGTTAAGCTGGAGTTTTGGTGGAGAAAGGGCACCAGGTATTAGACCTGGTGAGTCAGGCAGACATGGGTTCAGCAATCTTGAGTCCTGCCTAAGAAGGAATTCAGAGCCAAGATGAAAACCATAAAGTTTGTTTAGAAAGTCTGCGAGGTAGAAGTGAGCCATAGAAGAAATGGGTTCAAGAACCAAGCTATCAGGGCAAAAAAGGGCCTTTGGAACTTAGGAGATAAAAGGCAACCCAGGCAGTCTGGCTCAGTGGATAGAGCATCAGCCTGTGGACGGAAAGGTCCCGGGCTCAGTTCTGATCAAGGACACATACCTTGGTTGCAGGTTCCTCCTGACCCGGGCCCTGGCAGGGGCACGTGTAGGAGGCAACCAATCCACGTGTTTCTCTCACATCAGCTTTCTCTCTTCCACTCTCTCTAAAGATCATTGGGAAAATATACTCAGGTGAGAAAAAAAGGCAAGGAAAACACGTGGGAGAACGGGGTGAGGAGAGGCTCAGTCCCGAGGGCTTTTATACGGAGGTCTCAGGGGGAAATCTCAGTAGGACATTCATCTGGTTCCCAAGTGTGTCCCCTCAAGGTCACAATCTCCACCAGTTGGTCAGCACAGGCCAGAGGGTCATTAGTCACGGCAGAGGTTCTGTCAGCCACATCACTGCCCTGCTGGCTGGCTGCTGCTTGGGGCTGGAGCTGAACCCCGCTGAGGCCAGATGTCACCTACAGCGGCTAATGCTCACGGCAGTGGTGGTGCTTGGAGTTTTGCCTGTTGCTAGGCCCCTGGTGCTCTGTGGTGGGGACCCTCTGCATGGGGCATAACTTCCTATTCCACTCAGGCCTAACTGCCTATGACAGATTCATTGAGAAAGCCGGGCTGCTCAGGCTCAGCCTCTTTGGGGGGCGGTTGTCACTCTCCCAATGGTTGAAACCTGTGGTCCAGCCCCCACTCCCAAACTGCCTTCTTTGACCTGGACCACTCAAAACCTTCCTGCAGATCAGCATCCAGCCCTGAGTGCATCTTCTCCGCAGTATCCTAATCATCCTGAGGTGAAGCCTAGGGCTTCAGAAGGAACCTGCCGGCGCTGAGGCCCGTGTGCGGCAGGCCCTCGTCCCAGCTGCGAGTGTGAAGAGGTGCCGGAGGCTGGCAGTGGAGGAACCTATGCAGAACTGGCCTCACATGTTGCTGAGTCGGAGTCGGGACACCTATTGATAATATACAGAATTATCCCACTCACCCATTCATTTTGGGAAGTCATATACAGGGACCTTTATATGTGGGGACCCACTGTCTGGGAGAAGGATGTAGGGATGTTTCCTCTAAAGATCGCTGCAGTGGTTCCCTCTGGCAAAGGTCTGGTCCAGTTATTATCTTTCAGTTGCTACTAACTACAATAGGAATTGTTCTGATAATTTCACCTGCCCTTACACAGTAATGGACATACTTAGCCGCTGGCTGGTTGTTTTCTGAGATGTAGGGTAACTCCCTGCCAATAGCACGGGAGTGGGGATGGGAGGTGAGGGGAGCCCTGTTCCTTAGGATGACTATCTTTAAACTTCACAGGGTCTGAACCAGAGAGACATTCTCAAGCCCGTGGTGCTGGACTGCAATGACGCTCCCCGCCTGAGGAGCCCTACTGACTGTGTCGCTCAGACCACTTTTGTTAAAGCCGCTAATGGTGGGCTCCTTAATGCGGGAGGGATCCAGCTGGCGTGTAGCACGGAAAAGCCCCGAATGCCGCCTCCAGGGCTACACGTGGGATAAATCAAGAGCTGAGCCAGGCCAGGGAGACAGTTCTAGAAAACCAGGCAGTGATAGGTTATTTGCTGTTTCAGCATAACGGAATGTGCTGTTTTAAACTTTCTGATAATTCTCAGTTGATATAAATTTTATATCAACATGTGTCAAACACAAGGCCCGCGGGCCAAATCCGCCCTGCCAGGCCTTGCAATGTGGCCCGCACCGCGCTGTCATCACTGCACTCCGCTGCGTTTCCATCACAATGACAGTTTATGACTGTTCAGTAAACCATTCGGCCCGCGATTTAGGCTGGATTTTAGATTTTGGCCCCTTCTCTGATTGAGTTCGACACCCCTAATAAAACATATCCCAGATCCTGCATGTGGTGTGTTCCATCCCTAGGAACTGCTTTCAAGGCAGAAGCAGATCCAGTCCAGCAGGATGAGACTTTTCATCTAAAACTAATCTCGTAGATATGAGATGATAGAAATAGCAGTGGGGAAATGGTAGGGGCAAGAACAGAATATTGGGGACTAGCTATGGTTATGGGAAATATTAATCATGCTGTTAACCGTGATTGCCCTATGCTGGTTAAAGAAAGGACATTCTGACCTGCTGGGAGTTGTACGCCCGCGGACCGGGGTGTTGAAACCATTTTCACCGGGAACAGCCTATGATCACGGAAAGATTAAGAGCCTCGTTGCCCAAACAGGGAGTCCCACCCCAGCCTCCTACTTCCTCATGCCTGCAGTCCCTGCTTCACCACGTAATCCTGCCTTGTGTAAGCTGCTGGCTCATGGGGAGCTGCAGAGATTTCTGCGGATGCTCTCCCATATTGCCAGCAGAAATGGAATAAACACTCATACGATTTAAAAAAAAAAAAAAACCACAAAAAACAAAAACGTGGTGGCAGACTGGGCCAAACCAGTCCCTGGGCCAGGCTCTGACCAACACCGGGCCCTCGAGCCTCCCCATTCACACACCTTCAACCAGCCGGGAGATCCTAAGAGCAGGCCAGGTCGCCTCCCAGGGATCCTTCCTCAGCCTCCGCATCTCCGTGAGTCACCCCCGCTCCAGTGAGTCAGGCACACACCTAGCATCACCTCCCCCCTCCCCGTCCACACCCACGGGAGGGCAAGCCGGTCTCATCTCACTGCCACCTGGGCAAGCCCGTCTCATCTCATCCCACAGCCAGCCAGCCCCTCAGCGTCTCCCTGCTGCCCAGCACCATACCCCCCAGCAACTCAAAGCACTTAAAATGGCAGCCTCAGACTTAGAAACAAAGTGGGCAGGCGGATGCCAGGGCTGGGGGAGGGGGAATGTGGGTTAGTGTTTAATGGATGCAATTTCCGTTTGGGGTGATGAAAACGTTCTGGAAATGGTGGTGATGATTGCACAATAATGTGAATGTATTTAATGCCAACAACTGTATACTCAAAAATAGTGAGGGGAAAAAAAATGCCTTAGCTGGTTTGGCTCAGTGGATAGAGTGTTGGCCCGAGAACTGAAGAGTCCTGGGTTCGATTCCAGTCAAAGGCACATATCTCCGTTGCAGGCTTGGTCCCCAGTAGGAGGCATGCAGGAGGCAGCCGATCAATGATTCTCTCATCATTGATGTTTCTATTTTTCTCTCCCTTTTCTTTCCTCTCTGAAATCAATAAAAATATATATTTTTTAAATGGTAAAAAATGACGATTGTTACATGTGTTTTATCACAATAAAAAATAAAAAAGATACTTCAGCCACTGCCTCTACACTGCAAATAACATCAGAGCTCTCCCTGCAGCTGCGGGGCCCAGCTGCAGCCCAGTTCTGTTCAACACACTGAGCCTCCGCACTGTGGGGCAGTTCCCGCTGCTGAAGTGCTTTCTTCCCAGCCAGTGCTAGCTCCTGCCCTCTCTGGTGTCACCTAGCTGGCCACCATCTATCTCCACCAGTCCCCCCACGATTCTCCCCTCGGAGAGCTGACAGGCCCAAGGAAGGCTCCCGCGGGTGACTAGGCGGGGCCAAGGACTGGCCAGTGCTCACAGCGCTGGGACTCAGCGCCCCCGATGACAGAGGACAGCCCTTTGAGTTTCTGGCCGGTGAACGGAGCACGTGAATACCCACAGGTTATGAATGAGGCCCAGTGCCAGGAAAGTGCTGACAACCACTGCTCAGCTGCCAACCTATTAGCCGAGCTCATCTGCCCTCTCCCAGGGACCTTTGCCAGGGCGAGGAGACTCGGACGGTGGGGTCCAGTCGAACCCTGTGTCCTGCAGGGCACAGGACATTGGTGACCACACACTGCCCACCAACTCCAGACAGGGTTACCTACAGCTGCACAAACACCAGGTACAGGATGGCTCATGGAGCCCTCCTGGGAGTTGGGTTGTTCAGAAGATTCTAAAGATTCCGAGCCTGGGCGATCTTGGGGGCTTGTGAAGGTGGCACGAGGGCTGGTCCAGTCAGGCAGGCCAGGGAGCAGTGGCCACTGTCAGCTCAGGGGGCGTCCAACCACTGCCTCCTGAACTCAGAGCTGGGCCACCTGGGGTCCGGAGGCCAGTGTGATCCCTCTGAGGTCAACGAGGAGTGCGGGGTGATGTGCAGAGAGCAATCAGGACACCCACACACCTTGCCCATATTCCTTGCCCATATCTTGTCTCTAAGACCAATGCTCTTCTGTTTAAAATTCCCAGATGTACCCTTTCCCTCAGCCTCCACAACAGGCAAACTTCTGCAACTGTTCCATTCACTGTCCCCAAGTGTCTTCTGCCAGTTTTCAGCTTTTCAACCGATAGCCTGTGGCTTCCGCCTCCCACCCTCCATTCATTTCCAAATGACACATCTGCCTGCGAGTCTGCAGGCCTCAGCCAGTTCCAACAAACCCCAGGATGCCTCCTTGCAAGGCTGGGCTGAGCTGGAGTCCACCGGCTCCCAATCCTAAGCCCCAGCCCCAGCCCCAGGAGGGCCACCAGGGTGACAGCGGAAACAGCAAGAAGCCTGCTTTGAAGCAAAACTCAGAGACCAGGCAAGTGCCTTTGGGGTAGACGGTTTATCCGAGCCAGTCGCCTCCAGGGCTCAGGTCATTCACCCAGGACAGGGCTCCCATTCACTCCTCGGAGACCAGCTCCTCGGCAGCCCAGTGCTGTCCGTGTCCAGGTGAGGCGGGTGTCCTCCAGCTGGGGTCCAGGTCACTGCCTCGCCGCCGCCGCCTGCCACACCAACTCGCCCGAGATGTAGGTGGCCTGGACGTGGAGGGAGTCGTCGAGCATCACGAAGTCTGGGTCAAAGGGGGACAGTGAGGAGGAGGCAGGGCTACCCCAGCCCCAGGCCGGTGGGAAAACCAGAGCCTGGGACACAACTTGTGTAGGAGAAGGTGCCCTGACCCAGCACAGACTGACCGAGGCCCCGGAACCGAGACTCTGGCAGCAGGAGAAAGGAGTAAGGGTCCCAGCAGCCCCGCCCGATCTTGTCCCAGAGGTCAGGGGAGGTGGGACCTGCAGAGGCTGGCTGGCTGGGGAAGGCTGCCTGGACGAAGGAGAGATTCCACCCTCTGCCCACCCTGTCCCTGTCCCAGGCCTCACCAGGCCTCCCGAATCTTCAGGCTGCCCGGGCCACCCCACATTGGACCCTGACCTGCATCAGCCCCGAAGTCCAGGGTGCCCTTGAGCTTCTCCAGTCCCAGTAGCTGGGCGGGGTGCAGCGACGCAGCCTCCAGGGCTGACTCCACACTGCAGCCTGCTCAGGAGACACAGCGGGTGACCACCCTCACCCCGCCCCACGGCCCTGGCGCTCCAAGTCCTAGGGATAGGGTGGTGGTGGGGCTGTACCCCAGGACTCTGCAGCAGGCTGACAAGACCCACCCTCCCCCCACCCAGCCTCATCCCTCGCAGCCACTCACCCATCCCAACCCTATGGGGACCCTCCTTCTCCTGGGTCCCAGGGAGACCACCCCATAAGAAAGCAGTACCCTGGGCATCCATGAGGCCACCCAGGACTTGGTGCTTGCCGCTACCAAGAAGTCAACCAAACCCAGTTTCCTCCGCCTCCTGCATCCAGCCTGTCTCCTTGCTGCTCTAAACAGCAACCTGGACCCTGGTAGCCCTCAGCTCCCAGGGGCCTGGCCAACCACAACCTCTGCCAGATAACCCCTAGAACATAGATTGCTGCTCTGGTTCCCTCCACCTCATCACAGCTCTGTACCTGCTAAGACCTGCAATCCCATAGGCCCTGGACCAGTGCCCTGCTCTCATGGGGGCAAAGTCTTGGGTGCTCTGGCTTGGATGCCTGTCACCCTGGGTGCCCGCTCTTTGCTTGTCCTCCTCTCCCCCTCCCTATGGGTGGGACTTTACCAACTTACTAACGCCCATCCCTGAGGAACCCCACTAGACATGACAGACAAGGGATGTCCAGCTTCTCTCAGATGCAGCCTCCGCCCCAACACGCACACACCCCGGCCTGGCTGACCTGTGGCCTGCAGGAAATGCCGGATGCACACGTCCATCGGAGCTATGCTGCCGCACAGGGTCTTGGTGCCTTGAGAGCAGAGAGGGCAGGCTCTGGGGGGGTGGAGGGTAGGGGCCACCAGGCACGCTGGATGGGGTGTGGGGACACCCAGGCTCTGGCACCCCACCAGAGGGGCCGAGAGGCTCCTCTGATGTGGGCATCAGGTGGGGACAATGGTCACTCACCTGCCACATGGGCCGTCAGCCCATCCACTTCCACCTCCTGCTGCCCTAGCGTGTGTCGGCCATTGCCCAAGCCCAGGGCAGGGACAGCATCGGTGACTAACACCAGCCCTGGGGGGGAAGAGGCCTCAGGACCTGCCCCACATGGTCCTCCTACCTGCCCCCGCCCTGCCCAGGCGCTCACCCTGGGGATGGGCCCGGTGGGCGATGCGCAGGGCGGCAGGGTTGGTGTGAATGCCGTCGGAGATCATTCCGTAGAAGATGTGGCGGCCTGGGGGCAGCCGGTCACTGGTCAGGAGCCCCACGATGCCAGGGTCCCGGTGGTGGAACTGGGCAGGGCCAGCATGGAGAAGCTGAGCTCCATACAGCAGGGGCCCCCAGCCCGCCCGCCCGCCCGCCCGCCGCGGGGCAGCACTCACAGGCAGCATGGCGTTGAAGAGGTGGGTGATGAAGGTAGCCCCGCTCTGCACGGCTTCCTCTGCAACCTGCAGGTCGGCCACAGAGTGCCCTGCACGGGGACCTGCACTCAGACCCTGCAGCCAGCCCAGGGGCACCAGCCGGCCTTCCCCTCAGCTGGGGACGTCCCCCTCACCTAGGGACACGCAGATGCCACGAGCCGTCAGCGCCCGGATCACCTCCCGGCTACGGCCCAGCTCAGGAGCCAGTGTGACGATGCGGACGTTGTCCAGGGACCCGTAGGTGGCCAGAACGTCGTGGAAGGCGTTGGCCTCGAAAGAGCGCAGGTAGGCCTCGGGGTGCGCACCCCGCTTCTCCCGGCTGATGAACGGACCCTCCAGGTGCACACCTGGTAGGAGGGAGTGGATGGCTCCTGCAGGCCTCTCACCGGCCCACCCTCCCACCCCATTTGGGCATCTGGATGCATAGGGACTGCCAACAGGTCCCATAGGAACCTCCCAGGGTGGGGGCGAGGAGGGGGGTCAGCCACTCACCGAGGACCCCTGCCCCATGGGGACCACCACTCTTCACAGGGATCTGAGGAAGGACCTGGAGGGAACCAGCTGTTAAAGCCCTGCCCCAATGGCCCAGCACCAATGTTACAGCCCAGCCGCGGTCACAGTCCCGAGCCTAGTGCTCAAGATGGTCAACGGCCCCCAACCCTGGTCCGGGAAAGCATGGCGCTCAGAACCAGCGGGGCAGGTCAGCAGCACCGAGGATGACAGGCCTTCCTATGAGGCCCAGGAGGCGAGGAGACCCCAGGCAAGGGTCAGGGGCATGGCCCAAGTCCAGGCAGCATGCACCAAGGGTTTGGACCTAGACAGGGTGCTGGCCTGGCCTCCCTGAGGGCCAGAGGCAGAAGGAGTGCGTGCATCCAGGCAGAGCAAGGAGCAAGAGCAGGGTTTCAGGCACCGCCAATACGGCTACACTGTGCCCAGAGCAGGACAGTCATGAGGGTGTAGCAGGTGCTCACACAATGTAGTGATCGTGGAGGTGGGTGGGCAGGCAGGCAGGCATCCCAGCCCACATCTCCCTCCGTCAAGGCGGGGAAGGAGCCCACAGAACACTGGAGAGTCCCTGGGATAGAGTACAGGGATATCTAAGAGGCTCAAAGCCGGTGTGACCGAGAGGACAGAAGGGCAGCTGGCCCTGGCTGGAGCCCAACAGTGAGTGCTGGGCAGATGCGTGCAGCCACACTGCGGGAAAGGAAGGGAACAAGGCCCCAAAGCCCCCGTGGGCGCAGGTGGGCAACACCTGGTGCCTGGAGAAGTGGGCGGACAGACAGCAGGAGCCTCATTAAAGAGCAGCTGGGTCCCCGATATGCCATGCCAAGAGCCTAGAGAAGTAAACCACACGTGGGTAGAAGCAGAAAATGGGGCAACTAAAATGAAATGTATATGATTTTGGAGAGAGGAAGGGAGGAGGGGGGTAGAGGGGGAGAGAGAGAGAGGAAGGAGAGGGAGAGGGAAAAGGAGAGGGAGAAGGAGAGAGAAACATTTGACTTGTCCCACTCATTTATACACTCATTGGTTGATTCTTTTTTTAATATGTTTTATTGATTTTTTACAGAGAAGGGAGAGGAATAGTCAGAAACATTGATGAGAGAGAAACATCGATCAGCTACCTCCTGCACACCTCCCACTGAGGATGTGTCCGCAATCAAGGTACATGCCCTAGACCGGAATCAAACCTGAGACCTTTCAGTCTGCAGGCTGACGCTCTATCCACTGAGCCAAACCGGTTAGGGCTCGTTGGTTGATTCTTATATGTGCCCTGACCAGGGATTGAACCCACAACCTTGACACACTGGGACAATGCTCTAACCAACTGAGCTACCCAGCCAGGGCCTGACGTTTTTATATATTTTTTATTGTTGTCATTAATCATCACCCAAGGATATTTGTCCATTGATTTTTAGAGAGTGGAAGGGAGAGGGAGAGACAGAGAGAGAAACCTGATGTGAGAAACATTGATTGGTTGCCTCCCAAATGCACCCCCAACCAGGGTCAGGGATCAAGCTGCAACCAAAGTACGCCGATCTGGGGCCCTTCAGTCTGCGGGCTGATGCTTTATTCACTGAACCGAACCAGCTAGGGCAGCCAGGGCTGCAGTGTGTGTATGTTGTTACACTTACACACACACACACACACGGATTGAGTGATTTCAGAGAAGAAGGGAGAGGGAGAGATAGAAACATCAATGATTCGAGAAACACATTGATTGGCTGCTTCCTGCACGCCCCACACCAGGGGTCGAGCCCAAGATCTAGGCATGTGCCCCCGACCGGAACTGAACCCAGGACCCTTCAGTCCATAGGCCAATGCTCTATCCACTGAGCCAAACCAGCTAGGGCTGAAGTCTATAATATAGATATATAAATATTAAAAAATATATATTTTATTGATTTTTTACAGTGAGAAAGGGAGAGGGGTAGAGAGTTAAAAACATCGATGAGAGAAGAACATCTATCAGCCGCCTCCTGCACACCTCCCACTGGTCATGTGCCCAATACCTTGAACCGGAATTGAACCCGGGACCCCTCAGTCCACAGGCCAAACCGGTTTCAGCTGAAGTTTATATTTTTAATGCTCCCTGAATGTCACCAGTCAGGACTATTCCCTCTGAACAGAACTAGACTCTTCTCTGGGGGTTTGACCAGCTCAGGAGACAGGACTCAGAGATCTCAGCCTAAGGGTGCTCTCAGAACACCCCAGCCTCCTGGCGGCTAGCTGAGAACTGTTCTCAATCAGAATACACCACCAAGGCCCACCGGCTTGAGAAAGCCTTTGAAAGGACACACCTGGCTGAGAGCAAAACCCAAGGAAAGGAGAACATGTAAGAGAGGCCTCGTACCTGTGAAATAAGAATGGGATGTGAGCCCTGGCCGGTGTATCTCAGTTTGTTCCATCCTGCAATGCACCAGGTGGTTGCTGGTTCAATTCCCGGTCAAGACACATGCCCAGGTTGTAGGCTCAATCCCCAGGAGGGGGTATGTAAGAGGCAGGCAATCTATGTTATGCTCTCACATTGATGTTTCTCTCTTCTCCCTTCCTCTCTCTAAAAATCAATAAACTATTCCTAAAACAAAACAAATAAAAACAACAACAAAAGAATGGGATGTTAGAAAAAAAAGAACATTCAGGAGGGAAAGCAAGCACTTGCACATTAAAGTGCCAGAAATATATAATAAATGTCACTACAGGATGGAACCAGAGCTACCATGCCAGAGGAACTCCCTTGCACATCTTATATCTTATATTTTTTGAAATGTTAAAACAGCAGAATAACTCCCACAAGGAAAAGACAAAGAAATGATGGAGAAAAATCATTAAAGAAAACCAAAAACCCAAAAACAAACAAACAAAAAAACCAACAACAACAAAACCCCAACAAACAAACAAAAACCCCCAAAACTGAACTTCCAGATTGACAGGCCCCGACGAAGGCCAGCAAAGTGGAAGCGCTCCCCCCAGTCCCCGAAATGTCCCGCTGAGACGTCAGACCCAGGGACGAAGGAAGATGCCACACTTTCCAGAGAGAAGAAACAGGGCACACGCAGGGTCAGGGGTCAGATGGCTTCCAAGTTCTCATCGGCACTCTGGAAGTTAAGCGCCTTTAAAATCCTAGAGAAAAATGCCTCCTCACTTAGCATTCTAACCTAGCGCTGGCCAGTTTTGCTCAGTGGATACAGCATCACCCTGCTGACTGAAGAGTCCCAGGTTAGATTCCGGTCAAGGGCACAGGCTGGGGTTGCGGGCTCCATCCCCAGTAAGGGGACTGTAGAAGGCAGCTGATCAATGATTCTCTCTCATCATTGATGTTTCTCTCTCCCCCTCTCCCTTCTTCTCTGAAACCAATAAAAATCTATTAAAAGAAGAATTATTATTCTAATCTAGTCAAACCATCAATCCAGAGACAACATTTTCAGACTATCAAGACCTCAAAGCTTTACCTTTTCCGACCCCTCTCTCCGAAAGTCACTAGAGGATGTGCTCCACCGAACAAAGATGTGTGCCAGCAGAGAGGAAGACTCAGGACGCAGAAAGATCCAGCAGAAAGAGGCCAGAGGACCCCAAGTGAGGGTCAGGGGACAGTGTGGCCAGGTAGGGCCAGCAGCCAGCGCTGGAAAAGTAGGTCCCAAAGCTTCCACAAGAAGACGAGCCAGATGGAACCCGTGGTCTGTCTAAATATCCCCAAAGAGGAGAGAGACAACTGGCAGGAAGCCTGGCATTAAGTCAGCAGGTAAGCCAAGACCGGTTTGGCTCAATGGATAGAGGGACTTCAGGCTTGGGGACTGAAGGGTCGCGGGTTCGATTCCGCTCAAGGGCATGTACCTTGGTTGCGGGCATATCCCCAGTAGGGGGTGTGCAAGAAGCAGCTGATTGATGACTCTCTCTCATCAATGTTTCTAACTATCTCCCTTCCTCTCTGTACAAAATCAATAAAATATATTAAAAAAAAAAAAAAAAAAAAAGTCAGCAGGTAAAAACTATGCAGCCCTGGCCGGTGGCTCAGTCGATTGGAGCATCATCCCCTACACGAAAGGTGGCTGGTTTGATCCCCATCAGGGCACAGGCCTGGGGTTCGGCTGTGCAGGAGGTAGATGATTGATGTTCCGTTGTCACACTGATGTTTCTCTTTCTCCCTTTTCTTTTTTCTTCCTCTAAAAATTTAATTTAAAAATATATCTTTTGAAAAACGTAGCCCTGGTTGGTGTTTCTCAGTGGTTAGTGCCAGCCCCAAGCACCAAAGGGTTTCGAGTTGGATTCCCAGTCAAGGGCACACACCTGGATTGCAGGCTCATTCCTAAGCCCTGGTCAGCATGCAGGAGGCACCCAATCGATATGTCTCTCACAATAACATATGTTTCTTTCCCTTTCTCTTTCTCTTTCCCTCTGCCCCCCACTCCCCCATCCAAAAGCAATGGAAAATCCTCAGGTGAGGATTTTTTAAAAATGTAAATGAGCTGCAAGTCCTCTTTAACATAGTCCCAGTGACTAATCTACAAAAATTGCAAGAAACTACTGGGGAAGATAGAAGCCAGAGGAGCTAAAAGAGGCTCTGCTCAACGGGCCAAAGAGAGCCAATCATTAAGTTCCTGATGGGAAGCAAATATATACTGCTCTAAGCTTAAAGTCAAGCAGGAGTACCAGCGTAGTTTTTAGAGATATAAGGATAAACTCCAAAGGGTCAACTGAGTTGAAAGTGACTGTCCCATAAAAAAATAAATAAAAAGTGACTGTCCCTCAGTGAGAAGTGGTGGGGGCAAAGGGCTACTATTTTTCCTAATAAGACATGTAAGTTATAACATATATAAGTTCACTGAAGATCAAAGAAGAGACAATAGGTGGGTTTTTCTAGAACAGCTTTAAGAGGGAAAGTGAGAGAGCATTAAGCAGAGAGAACAGAATAAAAAACAGTGTAAAGGTGAAGGGAATGAGGCACCTACAAGGGAGGAAAAGAGTGGGGAAGGTAAAAGTGTAGATGTGGGCTAGAGGCCATGACCTGGCTGCCCCCTGAGGAGGTACCTGATCTTGCCTCAGAAAAGCAGACAACAATGCAAGCCAACCTCCCTACTGGAAGGGCAGAAAAAGGCAAGGCTGGAGGACACCCGAGAAAGAGCAGGTGATCTCAGTGGACCAGAGCATGATGACAAAACTCAGATAACTCGGACAAAGTGGCAATCTAGTTCGGCTCAGTATGAATGGGCCATCAAAGAAGGGGGCGTGGATTGGAGTGGGGCTAGGGGAGACATCCAAGTGAGCAGTCCTGTAGTTTCTAAGATGATACCTGTATTAAAACTTTTATGTTCAAAGCCCTCAACAATTCCCACCATAAATCAGTTTACTCTCTGCTTCCCAAGGCCTTTATCCTGTACGTGTTTAAGGAGTTGATGAGTGCTGGGAATAAAAGTCCTCTGGCACAGCTCCTTCTCCTGAGGAAAAGACCTCAGTTTGTATCACGATGGGCCAATGTACTGAGCAGGTAGATGGGGAAGGATGTGAACCAGCTGGCACAGCAGACACCGAAAGGCAGAGGATGGGGTGAGGGGTGGGGGTGGGCAGGAGAGCAGCTGCCTGGAATCGCCAGAATGTGCCTGGGCAGAGCAAACGCTTGGCAGGCAGGGAGACAATATTTGGGAGGTGGTGTTTACCCTGCAGATAAGGGCAGGAGAGGAGAGTGAGTACTGAGCTGAGCCCTGTACACTCTTCAGGAGACTAGGATAACAGTCACTAAGTCTCACTGGTGGGGACTGGGAAGGGGGAAGACAAAGAACAAAGGAGTAAGAGGGAGAGCATGTCCCAGGATTCCAGGTTCGGTAAATTATAGGATAATGACCAGGAGAGAAAGAATGGAATCAGGTGCGAGTCTGTAACAGGAAGATGAGTTTGGTTTCGAACACCTGACTCTGATGGAAGAGCTGCGATAGGTCTCCAGAACCATGTCCACAGCTGACATTAGTTCGTGCCTAATATATACCAAGCACAGTGCTGAGCAACCAACAACTCTAAAAGATGAATACCATTATTATTCTCACTTTAGGTTTGAGGAAACTGAGGCTAAGAAGGAGTAAGGAACCCTGATCCAGTGGTCGACAAACTCATTAGTCAACAGAGCCAAGTATCAACAGCACAACGATTGAAATTTCTTTTGAGAGCCAGATTTTTTAAACTTAAACTTCTTCTAATGCCACTTTTCAAAACACAGTAGCCCAGGCCGGGGTATTTTGTGAAAGAGCCACACTCAGGAGCCAAAGAGTTGCATGTGGCTCATGAGCCACCGTTTGCCTACCACGGCCCTAACCGGTTTGGCTCAGTGGATAGAGCCTCAGCCTGCAGATTGAAGGGTCCCAGGTTCAATTCCAGTTAAGGGCATGTACCTCAGTTGTGGGCACATCCCCAATAGGGGGTGTGCAGGAGGCAGCTGATAGATGTTTCTCTCATCCCTCTATCCCTTCCTCTCTATCCCTCTCCCTTCCTCTCTGTAAAAAATCAATAAAAACATATATATATATATATATATATAATTTTTTTTAAAAAAAGAAGTGATGAATCTCCCAGCTGACAGATTATAAAGTCAGAAGCCCACATCCACCTCCCACAGCTCCTGGCTCTGGTGCTATCTCCACGCACCCAGGAGGGAACCCACAAAGGGTAATGCAATCAATGATCGGGGAATGGATCTTGTACTGCAGTGTTTCCCAAACTTCTCTCATGATGAGAATCACCTGGTGGAGTTGTTAAACTACAGATTTCTGAATCCCAACTAAGAAGTGCTAAACTAGAATTTTTGGGAACATATAGGTAAAATTGTATACTTAACCAGGTGATTCTTATCATGAGAGAAGTTTGGGAAACACTGCTGTACTGGAAGAAAAAATACAAAACTGGAACAAAGAGGATAGTTTACAATTTCCTAAATTCAATAACTCTATTATGCCTACACAATACCCATGCTATTAAGAAATAGCTAGGTGGCTGAAACCGGTTTGGCTCAATGGATAGAGCGTCGGCTTGGGGACTGAAAGGTCCCGGGTTCGATTCCAGTCAAGGGCATGTACCTTGGTTGCAGGCATATCCCCAGTACGGGGTGTGCAAGAGGCAGCTGATCAATGACTCTCTCTCTCATCGATGTTTCTAACTCTCTGTCTCTCTCCCTTCCTCTCTGTACAAAATCAATAAAATATATATTTTTAAAAATAGCTACAGAGGCACAACCTATACGACCTCCTCCAGGAAAAATAAAACATACACACACAGAGAACGAGACCAAATAATTAAATGTGGCAAAGAGTAAAGTGAAGAAACTGCATGAAAAGTAAAACTTCTTAAAGGAAAAAGGATCCCAGACACCTGAAGAGCAGGCCTTGCAGGTGAGAAGTGAAGTGGGAGGGTGTGGGGTGTAGGCAGGAGCAGCAGAGAAAGGCTGGAGTACAATGGAGCTTCTCTGTGGATATACCTTATACCACAGGCAGGTTAGCGAGGGAAAGGCCTGAGAAGTGGCTAAGGGTGTGGCAATGGGAAAGTCCATGGCCTTGATCCAGGAGGCAGTTTCTGGGACCTGGAGGTAGCCAGAGTATAGCGTAGGAAAGGCACGTGACAGGTGAAGGTGCTGAGGCAGCAAATGTGGAGGCCTGTGGGGACAGCTGCAACAGGCAGACCGGAAATGACAGCGGGCCTTGGGCAGCAGGCAGAGGGACACCTGAATTTGAGAACGACCAGGGGACAGGACCCAAGGACCAGATGGCGGAAGGTCAGCAGGTAAGGTCAGACCCAAGCGCTCAGGGGCATTTGTGGGGAGAGGAGATGGTACCTGAAAATTAAGGAGCTGGCTACTTCTCGGGCCCCCTTTGCTGGAGGCCGGGCGCCTGACCTCACCTTGTGATAAACCTCTGGTGGCGAGGTGACTAAGGTGGGACAGAAAGAGGTGACTCCGTGCGACAAGATCCTCTGGGCTACCAGGGCTACTCCCGAACCCACATCCTCTGTGGCCTGGGAGAAGTCAACGCCAAATCCACCTGTGGCCACAGAAAAGAGGAGGTCGCACGGTGCTCGGAGCTCCTCCCGGGCCTCCGCCCCCAGGCCCTGCCCGCACCGTTGATCTGCACGTCAATGAAGCCGGGCGCCAGGATGCAGCCCCCGCAGTCCCGCCGCTGGTCGGCTAAGAGCCGCTCCTCAAAGAAGAGCTTCTCTGGGTCCAGAATGCGGCCCTCGCGCACCCACAGATCCTCCCTGCGGACAGAGGGGTGGGGGCTCGCGTCGCCGGCCCAGCCCCGGCACCCAGCCCGCGTCCACCACGCCCAGCCCCTGCTCCCGCCGGCTCCACCCAGCAGCGCCGGCCCCGCACCCGCCGGCCCGCACGCCACCTGAGCAGCCTCCGGCCCCGCAGGATGCGGCAGTTGGTGAGCTGGAGCACTGGGGCCCGCGAGGCGCCCTCCCCGCCGCGCATCTTGAGCCGAATGAACCGAATTCAGCTGCGGGCGCCGGAAGCCCCGCAGCTCTATCCTGCCCGGAACCGGCCCCACCCACATGACCCTCAGCTGACTGCAGCGCATGTCACGTGGCCAGCGTGCCCACGTGACCGCACCCCCTCCGGCCCTCTGAAGCCGCGGATTAGCAGCCCTCCCCTTCCCCTGGCCCACACAAGCACACACACACAGATGTCCAGTCACATCCGAGAACTTTATTGGACACGGGTCTGGGCCTGGTAGGCCCAGCTCATGGCCCCGCAGCTAGGGCTGGAGGACAGTGGTTCCATACAAAAAAATCTCAGGGCACACGGTAACCCCACAAAGCAACACTCTAAAGATTATTATAGTTGGGAGACTGCAGGGCTGCTCCACAGACGTGCGAACAGGTCAAATCTTTATAAATAAACATCCAGTGAAAACGACAACTCGAATTCATCCCTATACACAGAGCACTCTAGGGCAGGTAAATGGGTGGGGGTGGCTAGAAGCCACCATCCTCACTGGTCGGGGGACCTGGGTGGGTGATGATGAGTGGGCCCAGATGTCCATGGCACGGGGCGGGTGGGGGCAACAGACGATGGGCACTAGGACACTGCGCATTTACAAGACCAACTACTTGGGGGACGAGGGGGGCAGCTGCCCCGTGCATGTGTATCAGGCTGTTCATTCTGGAATGAGGAGGGGTGGTCTTTACATCATATCCTGTGGCTGGTGGGCTTAGAGAGGAGCTACTTTGTGGAGAGGATGAGGGCGACAATGAGACCATAGAGACCCAGCACCTCGGCGAAAATGAGGATCAAGATCATGCCCACGAATAGTCGGGGCTGCTGGGCAGTGCCCCGAACTCCGGCGTCACCCACAATGCCAATGGCAAAGCCAGCTGCTAGCCCACTGAGGCCCACACTCAGGCCAGCGCCCAGCTGGAGGAAACTCCTGGGGGAGAGAGGACATGAGACAGACATTAGCTGTGTTGGGGAAGGCGGTAGGCACAGGCCACTAGCCCACTCCCCAGCCCTCCAGCCCTGTGCAGTGGCCTGAACTAGGGCAAGGCTGGTGTGGTGGGAGGAACCCAGCACTCACCTGTAGAGACTAATGCCTTCAGTCAAGGAGTTGGCAATAAGGACTGCCACCACCAGGCCATAGATGGCAATGATGCCAGCCATGACCACTGGGATGATGGACTTCATGATCAGCTCTGGTCGCATGACAGACATGGCCGCAATGCCGGTGCCACTCTTGGCAGTACCATAGGCAGCACCCAAGGCTGTTGGGGAGGAAGCAAAGTGAGCCCAGGCACCTGGAACCAGAACCTTGCCGGTAACTCTGACACAGAGACAATGTGGTGGTGCCCAGCCAGGGGCAGGAGGTGACCCTCAGGGGAAATGGTCACAGCCGAGCACTCAACAACCCAGGTAACTGTCCCTCTCTTCTGCCAGAGGTCCTGAGGGCTGGGTGGCTCATCTGGGCTCCTGCTCTGCTAGGAAACCCCCACCTGTGCTCGCACTCCCCAATCCTGCTGTCCCATCCCATGCCCCCAAGGAGTTCAGCTCAGCTGCCCCAACCTAACAGGCTGGCGGCAGTCACATGGGAAATAGGCAGCTGGGCCCCTGCTGTCCTGCTGGAGATTCTGGACACATTTTGTCCCACCCGGAGTCCCAGGCACTCGGGTCGCCAAGGCCTGGAAATGCACGGGATTGCATACTGGCAGCCCAGAAGCTAGGCCAGAGTCAGCCTGTTGGCCCTAGGGCTATGCCCAAGGACAATATGATGGACGAGCCCCAGGACACACAGGGTCTGGACACTGCTCAGGGGAAGCAACCTGCTAAGTCCTATTCTCTCAGGCCGGGGTTTCTCCGACTCCCCACCCTGCCCACTAAACTCCCAGCACCTGCCCTGGGACACAATGCTAGGAGAGGTGGCGTCTGTGCTGATGGGATGAGCACATCCGCAACCACACAGCGGACCCAGACCCTTAAGTTTGGGGAGGATCCTCTAAATAACCAGAGAGGAGCAAGGGCACAGGAAGACAAGGGGCTGTGGAGTCATCACCCAGCACAACTGTGAGGCCTCAGCAGATCTCCCAGAAGCCTGCCTCTGCCCACGGCCCCAGTGACGGGGTTGGGCTCTAGGAAAGCCTGGCTCCTCTTCCGCTGCCCTCCTCTCTCTTCTTAGAGTAGCTGCCTTCCTGAAAGTTACCCTCTTCTGGTTCTGAAGTCTAGAGTAACTTTTGCCAAGAACAGAAAACGACAGGAGGTCAAGGTAGCTTTTCTGACTCAGTCATCTGCTCTCCAGGGTTCCACTGCACTTCTTGAGCAGAGGACAACATGGGTGGAGATGGAAGGGGCCAAGAAAATCCTGGCCATTCCTCTGCACATTTTGCTCACCAATGTGGGCCACAAGGTACCTATCCTGCTCTTTACTAAGCAGGGGAGAGCTCAGAGGGTTGCTGCCTTCCTAGGGCTCTAGGCTTGGTGAGGACACAGAGGCAGCACCTCCAAGCACAGTGACATGTTCCAGGAGAGTGAGGAGGAGGACAGTGATGGGGTCTGGGAAAGGGCTTCGTAGAGGTAACATCTGAGTGAGGGATGATGAACAGGAAGATTCCAAACAGCCTGAATGGAGATGCTAAGATAGTGCTGGATGGGGACCTACTGGAGGGAGGAGGCAAGGGTGGGGCAAAGGGACTGAACTGCCTCCTCCCCATGGTCCCAGAGGCACCTCAACACAGGCTTGCCTCAACACTCAGCGGCTTTAGCCTGGGCCCAGGGCCTGTCTTCATGAAGCCTTTCCTGCCATTCTCCTGGTTGCACTGCATCCTTTGGGCTCCTGATGGAGGCCCAGCACGTCAGGCTGTCACATATGTGCAAGGGGCGAGCGCCACGGCTCAGGGTGAAAGCACAGGCTGCCGTGGCTCTTAGTGGGAGACCGTTTCAGGGAACTCAGCACTGGAACCCTGCGAGGCAGGAAGTGAGCTGGGCCCTTCCCTCAGGGGGCAGCAGGGAGATCACGTAGCTGGGGATGGCAAGAACGAAGGGAAGAAACAGGAGTGACCATCAGGAGAGAAAAGCAGTCTGGCTGGGGAGCAGGTGTCTGAGAAAGCCTTGGATAGTTCTGAAGGCCAAGCCTCATGGGGCTCCAGATCCAATGGAGACAGGGAGACTGCGATCAGATGGCAGTTCCAAGAACACAGCACCAAACACAGGGTGTCTGCCAGCAGGGAGGAAGCCACAAAATTATGGAAAAGGAACAACTGACAGCTTCGTGGAAGACATGATGAAGAATCAAGAGGATTTTTTGGTCACAAGTTTTAAAAAAAAGAGGAAGCTGAAGTGGGAGATGGAGATTGGGGAGGCCTGAGAGTAAGAAGACCAATCAGCAAAGCCCCAGGCAGGCCAGGGAATATCTAGGCCAGGAGCTGGGGACAGTTTGGAGTCAGCCAGGCAGCGACACCTGAGGCCTGAGAGCTGAGGGGTCTGTTCACATAGGCACAAGGAGATAGAGGAAGACAAGCCTTGGAGAAAGACATATTTAACATGTCAAGCGCCCAGCCTGTGTTGTCTTCCAGACGGAAAGTATAGTGTCAGTTACCGGTGACTGGGCGCTTAACACAGTGGTCAGCAAACTCATTAGTCAACAGAGCCAAATATTAACAGTACAATGATTGAATTTCTTTTGAGAGCTAAATTTTTTTAAACTTAAAACTTCTTCAAATGCAACTTCTTCAAAATAAGACTCGCCCAGGCTGTGGTATTTTGTGGAAGAGCCACACTCAAGGGGCCAAAGAACCGCATGTGGCTCGCAAGCCGGTTTGCCGACCACATGTTAAAAGAGAAATGAAATAAGAAGTCAAACACAGCCTTAGCCAGTTTGGCTCAGTGGATAGTGTTGGCCTGCAGACTGAAGGGTCCCAGGTTGTTTCCGGCCAAGGGCATAAGCCTTAGTTTTGGGCTCGATCCCCAGTAGGGGGCGTGCAGGAGGCAGCTGATCAATGAATGATTCTCTCTCATCATTAATGTTTCTCTCTATCCCTCTCCCTTCCTCTCTAAAATCAATAAAAATATATTTAAAAAAAAAAAGAAAAGAAAAAAGAAGTAAACCACAATTAGCCCCATGTAGGGAAAGAAGGAATGAAGCTGCATTTAGAATAGAAATGAATGGCCTCAAAACCCAGGAGCTTGGGATCAGCAAAAAGAGCCCTGGATCAGTGCTATCCTATGCTCAGTAACTTTTGGAGCTCTGCCGGCCAGGTTCCATTGAAAGTACCAAGTAAGCCCTGGCTGATTTGGCTCAGTGGATAGTGTCCGCCTGTGAACTGAAGGGTCTTGGGTTCAATTCTGGCCAAGGGCACACGGCCAGGTTGTTGGGTCATTCCCCAGTAGGGGGCGTACAGGAGGCAGCCAATCAATGATCCTCTCTCACCATTGATGTTTCTCTCTCTCTCCCTCTCCCTTCTTCTCTGAAATCAATGAAAATACATGGGGGGAAAAATAAAATACAAAGTAAGTTCTAGAAGGAAAAGAGAGGAACCTGGTATTCAGAGGGCGACTAGAAGCTGGATACAGATAATGTGCTTAACAGGCAAACTCAGCTTCGGGGGCAAACAGTGACAGCCAGAATTCCAGGTGGGCAGGCATTATGGTTTTTTAAAGAATTTTTGTGAGTTAATTTGAGCCAAACTGTCGATATATGCCGGGAAGCAGAACCTCAACGGATTGAGATAATGCTCCGAAGAATGGCGGGTTTCATTTCTCTATACATTGCAATCAAAGGAGGGACATAGGTGGGTTACATGAAATTCACTGGTGATGGGAGGAAGGAGGTGGGAGAAAGCAAGATGGTGGGAAACTCCTAAGCATTATGTTTTATTCACTTATGTCTCTCAGTGGCTGGCACATAGTAGGAGTTCAATCAAGACTTGTTGAATAAGTGACAGCCACAAGTAGCACCCCAAGGAGGCCAGTTAAGCAGAATCCTGGAGGCCAAGCTCAGAAAAGGCTGGAGTAAGGAGGCGCGGCAGCCTGCCGGGAGGTTCTGGGGAGCAGTCAGCCCTGAAGATGT